GGGTGACGTTTTTCTCAATGAGCTAATTCAAAACTATACTCAACAAAAAAGAAAGTAAAGAAACAGTGGTACTTTTGCTTCTTGCAAAATCTCTCTGTACCCCACATGTCCATTTTATTAAACAACGATGGATTACTTTGAAATATCGCTGCTACTGCTTATGTACTTTTGGCTTTAATTAGAAGAAACTTTTTATCTACGAATAACAGTCTTTATTAACTGTATTAACTGTAGCAGCAATCTGTCAAAAGATGTATTTTTGTTAAATGCAACAAATGCTAAGTCAATTTATTACTTTAAAATTGCAAATAAAAAGAAGCAATAGCAACAAAATAGAGGCCAGCTGAATTGGCTGTTTAAAACAAAAACGAAGAAAAAAAGCAAAAACAAAAATTTTGAGAAAAAAGGATAGCGAAAAAAAAAAACAAAGCGAACCAAATGAGTTGGAAAGCAAATACCTAGTAAATGAATAAATAGATAAATGAAGGGTGCTGTTGTCATTAGCGTAGAAAACGACGGAGAGAAAAGCGGAACCCCAAATGTACAGATGACTAAAGATTAAAAAAAAAAGAGGCAAAAACTACAAACAGTGGTCAGTAAGAGGAAAAACAACAATACTTGTAAAGTGAACAAACCTAATGAAAACGCACCCTTCTCCAACTCGTCAAGAAGAAAAAAAAAAGAACGAAAATAGTACAGTTTTTATATGGTCATAAAATTGCCAAAAAAAAAGTGAAATATGTAAAAATAAATAAACAAATAAATAAAATAGATAAAAACTTTTTTCCCTGTAAAACGAACTGTGCGAGTAATAATAATAATAATAATGACGACATCATCATCGTTGCCGTCGCCGAAATCGTCATCAACATGATCATGATGATCATGATCGTCATCATGATCATCTTCATCACCATCATCACCATAATCATCATGAAGAGGTTCGTGTTTGCTTAGCGTACAGGAATCACTGCATCAGGCAGAAATGTACAATGAATTAAACGGCAAAAAAGTAGAATAGAGAGACAAAGAGACAAACAGAGAGGAGAAGTGCAGAGGTGCTGCAGAAGGAAAGCAGTGAATGAAGATGGACAGATGACGGCAGCCAAAACACCTTTCCTCCCTTTCTCTCGCCCATTCGTTTGTCCGTCCTGTGTCCTTTCAAACAATTTACATTTCTGTTCTTTGATGTCCTTCCTAAGCCTGCAGCATTCTTCCCGACTATAAACTGTTTTTTTTTTTTCTGTTTCTGTTTCTGTTTTGTTTGTGTGCCTTTCTATTTTTACGAGGAACGCTCTTTTTATGTACCTCTTAATTAAGAATTGTGAATAAATGAGGCAAACTGTCGCCGTTTTGGAATTACAGATAAAAGTTTGAAAAGGGCCCGAATAAACTGAGGTTTCTATCTCCTTCATCATTCATTGACCGCATAATCGAAGTTGTCAACAGAGTATCGCCAACCTGCGTGTAAATCCGACAGTCAATATTTAAGCCGAACATTAAACCAGCGAACAGTAAAATAAACGCAGGCAAAGCCAACAGTGTTGGTGTCCTCAGCAGCAAATTAATCATATATAAAAATATAAATACATATATGCGCGTTTTTCTATCATACAGCACACCGACCTATAAAGAGTAAAACAGAAAAAGTTGTTAAGGTAAAGTACAACTTTGATCACCGCAACAACACAAAAAAAAAGAGAAAGAAAATTGAACTAAAAGAAAAGAAAACCGCAATAAATAACGATAGTAACAGTGACAACAGCAACAGCAACCCATCCAAACCAACAAAACGTTTTTGAGAAAACCGTTAATCGAAGAAGATAAAATTCAACGAAAATTTCCAACATTCCTTTAACGACGATACAAAACCATTTTGATTTACATATGCCAAAAACAGAAAATTCATAATCGTTAGTACAGCCTGCCGACCCAAAAATACTTTCTTTTCTCTTGCACTTTCAACTTCAAAGAAATAAATCAACCAAAAAATTGCAAAAAGTTAAAACACTGAAAAAAAGTGAAAAGAAGAAAAAAATAGAAAAGAAGCAGTTGAGGAAAAAAATTTCACGTTAAAATAACGAAAAAATTTTTTTTATCACTCAAAACATCTCTATAAAATACGTTTTCTTCTTTTTTTTTTCGTTCTATCTAAGAACTACAGCAATACCAACTGCAGCAGTAACTACAGCAACTACGACAATTTCGTTTAGTTCTTTCCTATAGTCCGCTTGTAGCCACAATTAGTATTACTTGTCTCGTAGAAAACATTTAGATTTAATGATAACAACAATAATAGTAATTATTAGTAACAATAGTAATAATGATAATAATATGATAATAGTGACGATAATAATAATGATAGCAATGGTAATAATGAGAGGAAAATAATGCATAGTGTTGTCTTATTCTTGGCAATGGTATATATGTATATA